GTGATCATTTGTAAGTAGAACGGTATTTTGATTATTGGAATTGGATTATCTTGGGTCGAAGGAACGCTCGGTGTTAAGAGATTTCTGTTTCAGTTGGAATTGTTGTTTCTAATTTTTTAGTTTCAACCCTTTGCACTGGGGAGGTGACTCTCGGTCACTACTAGCCTCGACGCAGTAAATCAACCAGCAATAATGTTTCTTTAGGTTTAATTTTTTTGGAACTCGAAGTGTCGATATAATGATTGTCCGTGAGGCAAAGGTGATACGATTCTCAAATTTCAAATTAAAGATCACACCTTTGAAGTTAATCTAAGCTTAGCATTCGTGGCAATAGAATGCTAAGAAAGCATTTCGAGTTGCTGGTAGATACCAGAAAGGAATGCCTCGACTACAAAGGGTTAACATGATGTGTTCAATTAGGAAAGAGTTGTCTTAACTGGATCAGGGTTGTAATTAACATCGAATTAAGTGGAGTGACTACAAAAAATTGTATGTATCAATCTATTGGATAGAATACGAAAATTGAATAACAATATTATTCGATACATACTAATGTTTTCAACGCAGGCAGGAGTTGTAAATGACCGTCAACATACACAAGATCTTCATTCCCCGATTTCCGCAACCAAATTACTTCGGTAAAGACTGACACTTTAGCGATTAAGCTGACATATGTCGGGGTGAACTTAGTGTACGGTAGAACAAACACGGAAACCGAAATCGAAATATTATCATAGCCCAATAATAGGCTTAGGCTGTTTCTGTGCTAGCCAAGGCAAGGCATATCGTAACTGCAAGCCATAGAAGAGACGAATCGCGCGACCCTACCGATGGGTAATTGGATTTGGTTGATGCGGTGATGTTCATTTGACATCTTTGAGACGCGTAACCGCATTGACACCGTTTGCTATTGGATTATCCGAATATTTAAAAAAGGCTTTGTGAATGTGACACGTCAATACAAATCGTACTTCGAGCCTTTCTTGGGGTTACTGTTTACGATTAAATTCGGAAATATTTTCTAACGTATAATCTAGAATTATTTAAACAACTAAAAAATAAAAGAATAATTACACTAGAAATGATAAATAACTGCAAGAATTTAATTTCACCTATTCTTGCAAATCATTAGGCGTGTACAGTTTCAGTAATGTTGCTATAAATCCACATGAACTTGGAATGATTTTCAACAGAAAATAACATACTAAATGTCACGTAATTTCGAGTATAAGGAATTATCATAACGAGTGTAAACGATCACAGCAACACGAGGATAATAAATTTATTCGTTCTTCCATCAAGAGATTATTTTTATGAACGAAAGAATCGTGGAACATATGTGCCAGCTCTACTGCTAAATGAGCTCTCATACTCTAGATCACTGCGCGTCGTTACCATAAGATGGCAATGTTACAGACTGTTGGGCAGCCGAGAGGGATCCCATGAATCACGGCTCTAAGAGACGAGCTTTTAAAAAAAGAAGAGGATGAAACCGGTTTGGCACGCGCGCATCACGAAGGCTTCATAATGACGCCTGCAATCTCTTATTAAACTTCATTATTATCATTATTCCTCTTACACAGGAAATTACCCAGTTGGTAAATTAATTTTGAAAACTGTACGTTTAATTGTAATAATTCTTACTTCTAATAAGGGAGATCAATATCGTTAGCTCGAAAAATTAGACATAGGCCTCAGAAATGGTGTCAAAGCTTGCTATAAACGGTTCCGAAAATGGGTACAAATGATTATTTTTTTATATGCATGGAAATAAAACAATTGGAATGTATCTGAAAGAATCGCTAGTAAATCGTTAGAATCATTAGTAAAGTGAATACATCTCTTTCGAGATTTGAAAGCTTCAATAAATATAAAACAAATCCTGAATTACACAGATGGCAATATACATACCGCTTAGTCTTCTATTATTTAAGGCTCGAAATTATAATACATCAATCTATAACTTTACAACAGAATATAACACATCAAAGTTACTCCGAGGACATGCCAGTTTGTAAATGCAAAACGTTCAAAGACGTGAACCAGAAGAGGTCGACGAGAAAAAAAAAGGGAGAGAAGCCAAATTACCCGACACAAAATGTACTGTCTTTACTTGATAGGCCTCATACCCCCGGAGCAGTGGCTCTCAAACGTGAATCTTCCCGTGAACGAATTTAAAAGTAATAGGTTCACGGCGTGAAAAGAGGAACATTGAGAAACACTTCTTATAGTCCTCCGCTTTCTTCTCTCCCTTTTAGATTCACGCCAGAGCAGGTCCTTCCTACGTCGTAAATTTATTCGAACAAATTCTATAATTACTTTTCCGACCCGGATGTCACACAAGCCTGGATTTATGTGGCAATTCAGACATTTCGACAATTATACACTCCTTGATTAATCGAATACGCTTCCACGGGTAAGTAGAAGGTTTTTTAAATTTGCATCAAGCTTCACGCTCGGCGAAACGTAAATAAAACATTTAAACATTGATCGAACATTTATATTTACTATATATAATGCATTAAATAACACGAATAGCAAATCCTTCTGTAGTTACTACGATTTAAAAACCCGTAATTTAATTTGGGAGCAACGAGTTATACTCAATAGTACGATACTAAGTGCAGTTGTATAAGTTATACAACATCACCTGACTTTTGCACAAATTAGTACGTTTTACATATATTTATAATATAGTACTAAATAATATACTTTGAAATATACACTAACACTTTGGTATTAAGAGATTGTTACTGAGGGGAAAATATTAATTTTTAAATATTCGAGCGAATAAATAGTTCAGTGTGACTATTCCCTACTTATTTACCAGAAATGAATTAAATTAAAGTAAATAAAAATAGTGCACAATAGTTTGTAATATACCGCGTGCCGGAGACACCTGTATTCTCGCAATAATAATGTTACATTCAGTTACACAGAGTCAGTAAACACAGAGAATATACAATTTTCTTTACTCATTTCGAGTCTGTACATGGATCCACTTTAGAAGTTTCTTCAAAACATACTATAAAAAAGTATTAGACTTCACAGAAAACTTCTGCAGAAACACCATACGCAAGTTTGAAATGTGAAAGAAATTGTCTACACTTTTTTCTTTGTAACCTAGAAATCTGTTACAACTGGTATTACTAATCGGTTACGTTGTATCCTCCAGTTCCACTGCTAATTAACGGTCTCGAAAACAGAAAGCCCACGATATGAACGTAGAAAAAGACAATAAAAGCAACACGTTCTTTGACCACGTATTCCTTCGAAGACAAGTGATAACCAGGTGTAGAAAATTACCGAGAACGCTAAACCTGACAAGACGAAGATCAGGTATTTAGACGAGTTGCTAGTGAGCTTCGATGGTCTCCTGAGGGAGAGACCATGGATTTCCCCGTACTTGATTGCGTTTCAATAAAAACCAGAGCAGGTTAAGTGCGAGTTCCAGGCAGCTTCCACTTCAAAGTGAGGTGTTTCTTCGCGATACGTGACGCACCTGCCATTAGATGTCTGCACGTCAAGATAGCTTCCTTGCCAGACGTCGACGTCTCGCCTGAAAAGGATACACCGACTACTCTGCCACCGGGGTAGATTTCAGCATACCAACTTACAAATACCGGGCCAGCAGTCTTTGCTCGGTGGTTTCCTTTTCACCCAGCCGTGATTATGCTCCCTTTTTTTTTCGTGTAGTTTATCGTCGCGTAACTTGCCACCAATGGAATTCTAATGGGCTGCTAGAATGGAATGTTAACGCGTAAAAGTTCAGAAGAAATTTTCGTTTACTCCAGAATGCAACTAGTCGAACGCCAACACAGCGAGAATTCACTTTTCACCCTTGGTACCACGATTTTATAAATGTTTGATGTTATTTTAAACAAGGAGTCATTTCTTAAGTACTTTCAACCGCAGAAAATCATTTTTACACTTCAACCATTTCGAAATACATGCGAATTCGTAAATTATAGTTTGTTTTAGCAAATGAAATAATAACATTACACAGAATCCGTTTAATTTCTTGTATATTCTGTAATTTCAATATCGAAAATATATAATAAATAGAGAAATAGTTATTATAAAATGCACTTGTCTGTGATGTCAAAGATGTCGTGTTTATTCACTAGTGGACGATGACTTTTTATATATAAAAAGGATCACATCAGAAACTATCGATCCCTTATCAAAAATAAAACTCAAGCTTACAACAATGCTTACTCGAACATTCAATATTCGACAATAAAAAAATCGTAAAGCAATAAAAAAGAGAAAGAAGCAGGATGTTTTTAAAGGTACAGGGACCTTTAAATACGTATTGGAGTCTCCAGAATTTAAATAACCCAGATCTCCCTCGATCTTTTAAAAGTCCTCAGCATGGTTCCGTAACAACGACGATTTTTACAAAAATAATATTGGTCCGTTAGAACAAAATGTTTTCGTATATAATCAAATATCAAAAAGCAAACTTTAAATGCGATAATACATAGAAATAATTAACAAAGTCCTAGAAAGCTATTTCGCGCCCAAGAAGAAGTCAAACGGATTCGAATTTTTCGTTTTTTTCCCCGCTTCAAATTATTATATTCAGCTGTTGTCAAGTTTTTTGCCCCGTCCATCGAATCGGTCATGTTATCACGCGAAATGACCGTTCGAGAATGATTTAGTCGAATAATCGGGATTCGATGATCGAAATAAACGGAGCAGAGACCGACGCCAGCTTGAAGCGACCACGGCGCGCGCCGGAGTGATAGCCTTGTGGCGTCGCCGTCACGGCGCCACCGTCTTTAGCCAGAGATGTGGGCGTTGGTAGCGCGGGAGGACGCCGATTTTGATTGGTCAGGGAGGAAACTGTGGATTGGATGAAAATCGAGGGTGGGCAAGGAAAACTCGGCAGGCTGTTCGATGCGTCGCGTTGGTGGGAACCACACCCACCGAGAACCTCGAGACCCGTCCCCGTTGGGACTCGCTGGCACGCCGCTCATGCCGGCCCTGACACATTCGACAAGCGGCGCCGTAACGGGAAGCAACGCGCGGCTGGGGACCTTGAAGGACCTCTCTTCTGGTCACGAGACACCCTCCCGACACTTTCGTGCCGACGATATACGCACCACGCCACCGTCGCCCGCTGCTCAGATTACCGTTGCTCTCCGCGCGTATCCACCTCGATTACCGCATCCCAAGTGGATCCTTGGAGGATCTCGGAGGATTCGTCGCGTGGACACTCTTGGGACTCCGAGGACCCGCCGAAAGAAACGAAGATTTCGAGACTGTCGGGGAACCGGAGCCACCGGTTGCCGACTGCATAACGCGCGAATAGCGTGTGACGGCGGAGTGATCGGGTTCAGTGACGTCATACGATAAGAAAACAGTCGCGGTCGGTTGTAAACAAAGCAAAGTGAAAAGTAGAAGTAAAAGTAAACAGTGATCAGTGGAAAGAAAAATAGGGCAGATCGTGTTGTCGATCGATCGCGAACTTGTGATTCGTTAGTCGTTCGGTTACACGCGTGTGCGCCGACACGCGGTCGGGTGCCGAGTTGATGGTGTGACGGGGTAGCAGGTCGCACCTGTTACGAGCGTTGATGCGTAGCCACGAGGCATCTATGTTGGACGACTCGATCGATTTGACTTGCTCGTGAACAATCGTGGCGCCGGGCGGGAACATTCTGACCGAGAGGTGATCTCTCTCGATCAGGTGCGCAAGGCTCGGTGAGGAGCCGAGGAAGGTTCTCGCGGCGGCTGACACCGAGAAGCAGAAAGCCTGTTGCCCCAGGAGAGTCCGTACGGCCTCACGACGCGGTCCGACGAGTGGAGCGGTCTCCTGCCCAGCTCCACGATCGTGGGTGCTGGGGGGTCGCCATGGCTCGGACTCGGCGCAGGAGGTGGCACGGGGGCCACCACCGGGGGCGGAAGCCCCGTCGAACTCGAGGGTCACTGGGGACGTAAGCTGTACGGGGCGAGTGTAGCTCCGCCACCGCCGCCGCCTCATCACCACCCGCGGGCGCCGCTCGTTTTCGCGCCTCAGGACATGAGGCAGATACTCAAGGAGGAACCCGTGCCACGTGCTTGGCCGCAGCCTGCGCTTGCCGATAACGGAACGTGAGTACTCGCACGTTTTATCACCTTTCTCCTCGACCATTTTCGTACCTGAGATTCAGCTCTTCCCCCTTACCGATACGAAACTGGAAGATGATTCTGTCACTCCTTTTTAGACGAGAAAGACTCTGATCAGAGGAAACTACGTTATAGATTCTTTTAGTAAAGATTCCTTCCTTCCTTAGCGGTATAAAAGCTGTTCTGTCCTGTTCAGTTCTTTTTTCTATAACGATTACTCTTTACAGTTTAGATTACAGTTTAGATTCTCTCAGCTAGCAAACTATTTTTCTTCTGTCAATATGAAACTCAAAAGCAATTCCGTCGCTTCTTTTCCCAAGAAGAAGATTCTGTACAGAGTAAATCGCAATTCAGATTCTTCCAACAAATGTTTATTCCTCTCTGACTAATATGAAACTCGAAAATAATTCTGTTACTTCTTTTTCTACAAAGACTTTGATTAGAGATAGTCACGGTATAAATTTTTCCATCAAAGATAGCAATATAGTATACAAAAAGCCATGATAAGAGTGGAAGTACGAGGTGTGGCGATTAAATAATCGGACTGGTGCTGCCACCAGCAAATAGTAAGCGGGAAACAAACGCATAGCAACTGACAGTTGATGTATCAACTCTACTAACGTCCTGAACAATTGTTAAGATCGCGCGTCATTTATTTTGACAATAGCAGTTGTTACTAGTGCACCGTGTACTATCTTTTAAGCGTTTAAATAGAGCAACGGGTGAACCTCAAGTTTCTCGTGAATCTAGGAGAAACTATCTCGAATGCTTATCACGCACTCAAGTTTTTGAGTGGTTTACAAGGTTAAAAAAAGGACGAGAATCGAGGTTGCGACTGCACGTCGCGAACGGACACAAACGATCGAAAAATTGGCCAGTTAATTCACAAAAATCATCGTTAGAGTATCCGAGATATAGCTTAGGTAATAAGAATAGACAAAGTAAGTGTTCGTCACATTTTGCACGAAACATTCAACATGCGAAAAGTGTTGCAAAGGGAATCACGAATGACCATTTGCACTAACGTTTCAAACGACAGTGAAACTGCTCCTAATTTGTTAAACGCAGTGACTACCGGTAACGATTCGGTTCAAACCGTAAAAAACGTATCACACGGGTTGTTTGTTATAATTTCCTATGATGCTTGTTCGAAAAGGAAAAAGAAACCCGGATTTTTATCGTCACGATAACAGTTTTCGCAAAGCGACGGCAAAGAGTAGCAAACATCAACTCCATCTTGTTCTACTCGCTCTGCTGTCCCATAGAAATTTCGCTACAATGGTGAAATAAGCGGCCTGGGTAGAAGGATGCGACAATATAACACAAAGTTAACTAAAATAGAACACCCTCCGTCGTGTCACACTTCATCATTTTGCGAGGGTTTACAAAATTGAGATAAAAAAAGGATTTAAAGAGCGCTGGTAACCGAATGTCGCAGGCCGTCGGAAAGCGGCGACGCGTCGCAACTTTACGTTATTGTCAAGTCCTGATACTAAAAACATGACTCCACGAAAATGTATTCAATGAAATTAGAAGAACACAAACGTTGCGAAATAATTGGTGTTTCTTACGCTTTTATAAAAATTTCAATGCGATCGCGTGACGATAATGAGCCATTTATTAAATTCACGTTATTATACTCGTTGTGAAAAATCGCAGAACATGTATACTTTTACATATGTTTCGCTGTAACGGGAATTTAAAAATTATTTCACATTTTTCCGCTGCCATTCGACGCGCGAACAGACTCGAATTACGCCGTATCATCAGGGAGCGACGATAACTCCGTGCCGCAAGAACAAATGCCCAGTTTATCTTTGGAAGGCGGGCATTTCAAAACGATTCACACGTAGATGCATTTGGCGAACGATAAACCGTGTTTTATTGCAGCCTCGCTTAAGGGATTTGTACGACGTGCAAACGACGAAGGTACAGATACGCGGACTCGAGAAGGTAAACCGACCGGGTTGGGGATGCGCTAATCCAATAGCAGTTCTCTTAACTAACCCCTTCCAAGTAGCGTGTCACGGGAACCGGCGACCGGAATCGAGTTAATGTAATTGAGAATTTTAGCGCCTTTTGCTCTACTCTCTTTCTCGCGTTACCTCTTTTACACGACTGTTTTCCATTCGGGCCGCTATGGTCATTTGCGTTTGAGAGTGAAGCTAAAAAAAAGTACCGCGCGTTAACTCAATGCTTGTAACAAACGATATATACAACGACGCTCATTACGTTGATTTATAAATTCGATATTTCTATCGTTTGCGTTGAAAAGATTAGATAGTACAACGTATTGGGAAGTTCATTGAGATCCCAAATCATTGTTGAAGTCAGTTTCTTGTTTCAGCTGTTTCTTCAAATATGCTTGGAGAGTATCGTAAAATTAAACGTTTGCTTAAATCGCTGCTGCTTCTATCATAAGAACACGTTGATAATCAATTTCGGAGACGTTACCTTTGATAACGAGTCGGTTACAAATTTGTTTAGGGCGGGAAAAATGTTCTTACATAGTATTTAATTGAAACGCTGTTAAGACAGTTTCAACAAGCGGCTTAGAGAAAATGTTGAATGTCGAGATCGTTTCTGTTCAAATTTACGGTGGAAAGTTTCGTTTTCCTTCGCGAGGAGCGGTTGTAACACACAGACGTGCTGAACCGCGACTCGGAAACCGGGTGCGAGAGGGCCTGGCGAAACTGTTTTAAAACTCCCAGCAAACAGACATAAACTCTCACGCTTTTTAAAAACCCCTAAAAAAGTTACCCATCTAATGAAGCAACAAACCATCCTGCTCGACGAAGGGACACGATGTGTCGCCCGTGGAAAAACGATGACTTTCTCTGGGGCTCTACGAATGAAAGCAAAAGGAACGGACGACAAAGAAAGTACAAAAACAACTGTTACTTTTACGAATCGGCGAATACTTCTTACGGACGGTATATTTATAGAATTTCATACGAAGTAGTAAAAAAATTCAAAAAGAAGACACGATTGAATTTTTCAAATGAAGTAACGTTTTGGATGTTGCCGCTATTTGCGTCTCGTAATTAAAGAATATGCCTCTGCGTTATCTACGTATATCTTGAGATTAATAATTATTGATAAAAGCTGTGTCATCAAAGGAACACTTTTTTCTTTATCACTACATGATTGCTTCAACGCAGGAGACTGGTTTGCTTGAATAAAGATTCTTTTTTTTTTAAATTACTTATATATTTGATATGCCGAAGGTATCAACATTTTATTTCATTTATTTTAATAACGACACTATTCGATATATTAAAGGTAACGATTGGCAAGTAAGGTCTCTTTAAATTTAACTAGCATAAGATGAAAGAAATTAAAGCTTTAATGTGCTAGAAGGAACCGAAAGTGTAGTATTATGGAAATCGCAAACAAATAAGGCAAGCTACAATATTGTTGATTGAAGTAACAATTTAAGGAGACAATTGCTTAAGGTTATACGTTAAAAATATATTTCTGGAGAAATTTTATATATTTCTCTAATATATTTCTCTAAATAAATTGAACGGAGTAACAAATCTTCCAAGGTTGTCCACAAAAGTGAAACGATTTATATAGCTGGTGTTTTCTTTCACTCGAGCACCTAATAGAATAATATAGTTACCCGCGCTCGAGTGTACTCGAGCACAGTACTAGTTACAAGGTTAAAAGTTTACCACGAAGGTGATTCAGTTTACCTTTTCGTTGCCTTCGACGCATTTAGCGTAGGACGTTATGTGATTAAACTAATCATTGAAATTCGATAGTGAATTTTGTTACGATATACACAATTGCTTGCGCAGATGTAAACGTCGCGCGTCACAGTTTCTAAAATCAATTTTGGTTTTTCATGACGGTAATAATAGTTGATTTCAATATAAACCAGCATTTTATTGGATTTATGACAATAAGTAATAAGTAACATCGTTTAGAAAATCACTGCGGCGATGACGGACAACTGTAATTGTCAAAGAAATGGTGTGTTACGTGGAACAGTTATAAAAAAAAGAAATAAGAGATCAATTAGAGTACTCCAACAATTTTCAACCAGATCAAACGTTTTAAGCAAACAAAGTATGTGATGTTTATTTAGTGAAAGTAAAAGTTTAAATTTTACACAATATAATAAATCAGTACACGGAGATCAGCACACATTAAACAACGATTAACATTGAATTTTGTAACTCGAGGTTACCAAATAATTACCATATTACACAAATCTACTTTATTTTTAAAATACATATTTCCCGAGACCGTGTACCAAAAGGAACCTAAGAAACGTGTTGTCGTTCCTATAGTCACGAATAGAATTGATAATTGCAAAGAAATTGAATAAATTTTTGTCAGAAGCAACAGCGAAATATTGCATTAAATTGAACACCATTCGCGACAATGCGAACTGGTCGCGAATTACATTCGGATATATTACAAATTGCTCATTATCTCCGCGCGCATTATGAATCACATTGGGTGCAAGCGTAAATAGACTGCGCTTCGGCCAACTCGTAATAACTAACGCCCGGCGGTATACATTAACTGCGGATTTATTGTAATTCTCCGCGATTGCTTTATCCACGAATTCGTAACTGTATCCACGGGTTTGTGTTATCCACATATTTCGCTCGTGATGCATTGTGTGCAAATAGCATAGATTGCGGCTCGCGTGTGAAGTATAGAGTAGCCTGAACGGTTATTCGACGATCTATGCTTTCAAATTGCCATTGAGTCAATATTTACACCGCGATCGATAACACGAAAAATTGCTACGCATTTGAACAACGAATTTGACCGTAAAATTTAATTATCGGCTAAGGACTATTTACTTTCATAACGATTGCGCATAGCGTTACTCGGCGAGCAAGTAGAACAAAAAAAAAATGTTTACGGCAATATTAGGTATTATGGAAATGTTATGAGATAGTTGCTATTATAAAGAACACGTATTAGTAAATAAATAGATTAATGTAGGGGACTTTTAGGCATGTTCAGCTTAAACTTAACATTTGTGAATGATTTGTATACGTTGCTCGAATGTATTTATAAAAATAATTTACAAGGGATGTATGTAGATCTTATTTCATATTATTCAGGCTACTCAAAAAAACCATTGATTTTGTCTGTAAAAAAGTGTTATTGGCAAACAAAATAAGAGAATCATTCGTTATATTTCTTAGTCCACGAACATGGATGATGATGTTCCTGCAATAAAAACATTGCATTCGTAAGTCTGCAAAATCAAGAAGATGTAATATAGAATTATTGTAGTCTACCTGTGTAATCTGCCTTGTAAGAGCCTTGATCGCACTCTACCTCCAATTGAAACATTAATCTTTAGTTTCTTCAAATAAAGGATGGCCTTATATTACTATCATAATAAACAGACGATTTATCACTTATCGTCCGAGCTGTGAGTGCAGCTCGAAACCAACGAAAAACTAGTATCGTACGAAAAGGCGCACCTATCGTGTCCTACATCTTCATTTGCGTATTTGGCGTGCTGTGTATACCAGGTTATCTTTGCTGGCCGATCGAATCACGGCATTGCCTCACCTCAGTCGTCGTGAAAGAAAGGTTACACAGTCGGAATCGGTGAGCCTCGGGGCTGAAGGTAACGCAGCGACACGTTGCGCGCCATCGATGAGCGTTATCTGCTATCCAAAAACGAGCGCATGGCAAATTGTACTCGTGAATACCATGCGCGCGAATCGAAACCGTAATTATCACCTCTGTGTCGCTTAGCTTGGGCTTGGGCATCCCGTGCAGGCGCATTAACGACTCGTGCAACGTGCGTCACCGACAGCGCATAACCCTTTGCTGATGAAAATTGTGTTCTTATTGGTGCGACGCATCGCGTGATTTGATATTTCGAGAACCTGAGAAATGATCCAATACTTAAAATTCGAGAAATTGGCATTGTTTTAAAGTTTCAGTAGCCCTACTACTATTAACATAAATATTCAGATTTGTCTATGTAACATTAGAACTTGTACTACTTTTATGTATGTAGCGTATGCAGCGTTGCAATGCAAGCGTTGGATCCTTAGGATATTGTTTATAAATATTTAATCAGAATTTACAGTTTGACCGATTACTGCCATGCTACAAGGATCAAAATAAATGAAAAACTGTTTGAAATTAAACTGCACCCTTGTGCTAGTATCTTTGCACGGATTAACTACGTGGACAGGAAAACGGAACGAGCAGTTTCTAAATGGTGGACAGCACGCGTAGCAAGCGACGAGAGTACGAAATGAAGCGAAAAATAGCTGCTTAATAGCAGAATATTGGTGCGAAGCGCTCTCTCACCGCGTGATTATAATTAAGTATACCGAGCTGTTAAATTGCCTCGGCCCCTAGTACCCACTGCCACATTCGCGTGTTGCATATTTTCCCACTTTTTTAAACCTCTCTTTAACCGGGACATTCCAAATTCCACAGTATTTCCGCAGCGTTTTTCGTGGAAATTTCGCCAACGATGTAAAGTACTCGAAAATCCTTTTCCTATTCAAGTTTCCCATTTCTAGAATATATGTCAAATTTATTTCTTCATTTACATTTCAAAATCATAAATATATAGTATTCCAACGTTTAAATATAAATTCATAAAATTCATAATTTTATACAAAAAATATCGACGAATGCAAACAATAAGGCGGAAAGCGATCGCAGTCGAAAATGATTGCGGGTCCAATCCGCGAAATAAAACGCGACCGCGCGAATTCGCATATTGTTATTTTAACGAGCATAGTCTTGAAACCGTGCAGCCGCGGCGCTCCGCAATCCGCAACGGTTTCCAAAAAGGTGTGCGGCAATTGCACCGCAGGTGATAATGTAACGGCGCAGCAGGACGTGCCTACACGTTATATAGGAATTGGTGCATGGCAAACAGGGCAAAATAATCGGACGTCGAGAGTTATGGGGCGCGAACCGGCGGCCGGTTAATCAGCCACCGATAATTATCGACACGGGCAGTACATCACTCCCCTCCCGACCTCTCTGCCACCCCAGTGCCCTCCTTCCCTCCAGCGGACCCTCTCTTCGTTCTGTACCGGATTCACCACCCCCTACGACCAGGAATACCCGGCTGGCGAACCCCTTGTAACCTCCTCCTCTGCCTCCTCTGCCTCCTCTGCCTGCCGGCAGACCGACATCCCACCGCCTACCGTGACAAACGCACCGCCGATACCATCATTTATTTCGCAAATGTGCTGCAAAACTGCCGCTATTCATTTTCGGTCCAGTCGATTCAGTTTTCCGCTCCGAGAGTCCATCCTGATGGCATTCCGCGCACTCGCGCGATCGTTTTATCGCTTCACGGCGGTGCCATACAGCCGCGACGCTCCTGCGATCGTGGCACCACGCGCCCACGCCGCATCGCGACCCCCATTGTACGATTTCACTGTGGGGGAGTGTATCCGACGCACCGTGCTTCAAGCATTCACCTTCGAAAGACCTTTGCGTCTATCATTTAGTGTAATACGTTTCGATGCTGGCTATTTTATAAGGGATTAGGTCTAGTCAGCGGCGTGAAAAAATGGGTATTTTAATCATTTTTTTTTTTGTAGTAGTTAATTATATTTTATAAACAAATAATACTATGTTATTTCTTTCTACCTAAGTTATTCTCGATTAACTCTTTGAGGCACGGTTGGATTAAAAGTGTCCCCCCATTTCGATGGACCGTAATGCATGGTGGGACATTTTTAATCCCACCTCGAAATTTTGTAATAGCTGCATGTGTATAAATGTGATAGCTTTATTAATAATGATATAACAATTTCGTTTGATTTAAAATGCAATAAAATTCCTGTGCAACATGTGTCTATTTTATGACCTGAATTCCTGTGCCGCAAAGAGTTAATATTAGTACTACTACGAATTATTAAGTATTACTATAGTATTAGGATTACTCCAACAAATTATTAACTCCAACTACTAATTCCCTCTCAATTTGAAATATAACACAAAAATAATGTTTCAAGGTAATTATAATTAACTTCAGCGAAAGTTAATAGTCCCAGAAAGCAAAACAATCTATTAACTGCCTACAAATCTGCAACGTAAATGAATTCACCAGATGTCTTTCTATAACTGGGACAAATAATTTGGAAGCATCGAAGGTGATCGAGGAAAACACGGCATTATTAGTCGTGGCGTGTAGCTCGGTGAAAAATCATGCTTTGCGAGATCAATCCGAATTTAGTCGCAGACACGGACTACGTGAAGCAGCGGACTCGAAAAGGGGACTTTCCGTGCTATTACTCAAAGATGGCATTGAAGTCCGGTGGCCTAATCTCAGCACATGAGACCTTAATGGGATTTTAAGGCGTCGAGGCCACCTGCGCGCTCCCCCACGGACAACCTCGTTTGTCTTTCCTCTTACCAGTTTGGGTATTCTTATTGCATCCAAGGTCGAATAAGACATACCTATCTGACCCTACGGTAGTGAATCTCACTGTTAACATCCGAATTTGGTATCGAACATCGTTTTACGTCGTGCAACGCACGTCCTTTCTTCGTTTCGGTTAGGCGTAACGAAATGCTTGTAATTCTTTTTCCGAGCAGAAACGAAGATTAACGTACGTGACAAATGTTGCAATTCGTGTAATGAAATCTTTTGTAGAATTTTTTTAAGACGAAATATACATGCAGCAAGTTATCGAATGATGAATAGGTATACGTATCATTCTAAGACTACAAATAATAATGTAATGCGTGATTGAGAACAACTATTGGACTAAGTTATTCGATATACATTACAATATAAAAGGACATAATACTTTTATTAACCCTCCTTTTCTATGGTAGGTCGGATCCGACGTTGCCACCTAAAAACCCATTTATCTCGTACAAATAGAGGGATAACTAACTAAAAAAAAAGCTGTCGTTTAAAACCAAATTAACTGTCTTACTGAATTCAGTTTTCAGAGTTGCAAAAATCTAATGATGGAAGTAATATGTCGGTCGCTTTTGACCTCACCGTAGGCGAGGCGGGTTAAATGCACTTTCTTAATCCTTTACATTCGAACTTCTCGTGACTAAATGTAAACCAGTGCTTGCGAGGAGCACTTGGAGTGAAAAGAAACCTTCTAGTGCACAGGCTTAAATCTGTTTAATTATAACCAATCGTTTTTTGTTTTTTTTTTTGTTTTAACAGAGTTCAATCCAAAAAATACTAAATAGTTTGTATTATTTGTGGATTTCAGAGTCGGCGTAGGCAGAGCACACTTCGAAAAACAACCACCGAGTAATTTGAGGAAAAGTAATTTCTTCCATTTTGTGATCGCACTTTACGATCGACACGGTCAACCGATCGAGATAGAAAGGACTTCCTTCATGGGATTCGTCGAAAAAGATCAGGTAATACATTTTTTATATCGTGCGTGTTAACAATAAATATAGTAATATAAAATTAATTATACGAAACGAACGATTATCGGTGCAGTTATGCTGTTCAGTGTAAATATAAATAAGACATACGTGTAATTGTACGCATAAAGGAACGTTAGGAAAATCGCGTACGTTCATCGATATCAAGTTAAAAATAAGTGATGGCGTCGAGTGACAACTTTTGAATTTCAATGCTCGTGGTAGTCCTGGTCTTCCCGGGAGAATAAGTGGAAAAAGGAAAGGTGGCCTTTATGACATCGGGGAATATCGTGCGAGCGTACGCTTATCGCGATAATTGCCATTTCCATCGGGGGTGACGTCAAATATTAAACGCCTCCGCCTATGCGTATACATATCGATAGTCGGCGGGGTACACCTCCAGCTTTTCCAGCAATTAGTCCGACAGGCGAAAATCCATTGGCCGCGTGAGAAATGGACGGACCCGGTCGTAAGTGTATCGATGCGGTCACGCGAACCGCGTAACTTACCAACAATAACCCGTCTCTCCATTTTCGTTTGCCGCCGTGTCCTTCTTTCCAATCAGTGATCGCTTCACGTCGATTTTCCTCCATCAATTATTTGTTATTTAATCACCGAAGCATCGGAGACCTATGAATTAATAATTAGTCACAATGAACTTTCGTATAACGTGATTATCATTAAGTCTACCGCGACCGGTGAAATGATCGTTTTCAAAATTTGTGTACAGTTTTTTGTTTTATGTATGAACAAATGTTATCGTGTTAAGTAATAGTTAAGTTTCGCGCGCATGAAAAACTTGCTCGATTGAATTGAGTGCCAGTATTCATTAACAACCTAATGTATTTTCATTGCATTCGAAGAAATAGACACAAGAATTCCTGCAAATGAAGTCGTTATACGTGCTTTGATCATTCGATCGTCTGTCGGTTTTCTAGAGGTCGCATTAATTAGAGAAAATCAGTAGTAAATGGATGTTTCTTTGTTTCGTGCTTGAAAGTTGATTCATAAATGATTACAAAATTGTTACATTGACAAGTTACTTTTACTTGTATTTATTTTATGTAAAGGGCTCTTGAGGGCTCTCATCCCTTCGAAATTAAATAGAATCAGAATAGACGATGCAAAAGAACACTGCTTTTATTTCAAGGAAAGTATTCGATTACCTTTTGCTGTAATAAATAATGGAGTGAAATAAATGGTCGTAATAGTTTCATTCAGTCAATCATCTGGTCACAATGAGACTACGAATAAGGCAATTTTTTTACTCACCGATCGTAGGGACATTATTGAATTTTTCATACAAAATCTACTTCGCTAGAAACTAATTTTTTATATTCACATTCAACATGTATGAATATTTTATCTTATAAAAAAGATAATAAGTTGTAATATTCCTCGAATTGAGATAATTTTAAGACAATCGATATCTATTATAAAATAATTAAATCAAGTCACTTTGCGTAACTTTCACTCTATCCGAAACAATCAAACCTGACAATTCTCAGTAATTACCCAGCAATTTAGCCTCTCATACTGCTTGCTCGTGCGTGGTTATCTATTTTCCTGTCAACGCGAAACCCAGAGTTATTCGATTGATCATTCAGTTGCCATGAAGACATCGGATATCAAATTAACAACCCACCACCATCAATAACGTATTTATACGTGAGGACGTGTACGTTTAGAGTCGTTTACGGCGACGATCGAAGGTTGTTTGTTTCCGTCCGTCCCAAGGCAGATGAAAATTATCGGCAGAAATGATATCTGACTCGTGCTTGGATACTTGTCGCAAGCCTGTACTGGAATGGGAAGCGATTGTCAACGTAGTAATCGTTAGAGCTCCACTTTCTATTGGTCAATTAGTATAGCTGTTTAAGGAAAAGTTGACTGCAACGCAGTTCAGCGTTGATTCTTGCACAAGAGAAATCGCTTCACCGGGAAAGACTTCGGACAAACGGCCATGCGGATTTGTACAAATACTCGCGTACTCCTTCCTGCCACGTGTAGAAGAACCAGTAAGGTACGTGTTTGTACATCGCGAATCGATACGTGTGTATCTATCAGAAAACAGTCGATACGACAGGTATGCGATAGAATGGAAAATAATAAAAATCCAAAATACATTTTGAAAGAAATATACACGTACATCTATGTTTCATGTCGAGTGTAAACTGTTTCATGGAATTCCTTAAACAGTTTTTATACACGCAAGCGCAAACATTGTAAGCCATCTTACAAACTGAATTTGTCATAAGAAAACCGTCGAAACAGCTATATTTATTGTTGATCTGTATTTACAGAATGATACTTTACGAATGATACCGATCGATTTTACGTTAAATAGTTTCTATCACGCACAAACTTGGATCAGACAGGGTTAATGAATCGAAACGTTTTTAAACCGAAAATTGCCCGTGTCGTTACTTTATAAAGAGACCGAGGTACGAATTTATTAAAACAATAAATATGGAGATTCGAACAATTCACGAGTGAAGTGAACGGCGCATACATAAATAAACAACAGAATTTACAGCAAAGTGGCTTGATTATACGTGAAATGGTAGATATTCTTTGCAAATTCATTCCGCGCGGAATTCCTCGCTAACTAAACTCAAGATCTGGTTTGCAATACGAACAAATTAACCAACAAACGAACTACCGAAGCAGCTCATTTGCAAGTCAGCGAACAAGTGTACTTTCTATTCCTCCGCTTCGATTTGCATCGCTTATCTTGATATCTCCATTCCTTCCCATCCTCAGTTAAGAGCACGTCTATGTATAATTCACATGACTGGGACAGTTGCATTGCATAGCCTCCCTATTAATTAGGGTCATGCACCGCGGACATAGATCAGTCCCGGTGTCGAGTAGCCGTTTGTGCCTGAACGTGGCCACTGCTGTTCTCACCCTCGCTTATCCAACTCGGTATGCAAGGAACATTTACATATTTTTATGGGACTCAATTATTTAAGCGAAAAAGACCAGTCGACGATCGATCGGACGCCGATCAATGGCCGCGAATCGTCTCGTGAAAACGCTGCGAATGAAGCGTGTCAGCGCGATGCCAAGCGCGCAGTTCCCGGAAACTGGTGTCCTACGTAAATACAGGGTCTCCGCGTTCATTCTCCGTTCTATCCGCTTTTTGTTCGTCTTTAATTAAAAAGTAGTCGTGGATCGAGCGAACCGCGTATATACCTGATTAACGTCCATCGTGCGCCCGCGAATTTAGAGATTAATGGCCATGACAAACGCCGGCGACAGGAATGAGCTTAATGCGTACACGCGGCCAGAGAAAAAGAGAAGAAAGATGTCGACGATGTAACGATGATTATCCGGCGTACCATAATCAGGGTTTAATAGAAAAATCTGTCATGTTTACCTTTGATTTAAAAAAACAATCAATTGAGACTATTCTGGAAATAACTATACAAATTTTCGAAGCAAATCGAGAACTTGAAAAACCAAATTCTTCATTTCTCTCTTATATTGATCGCTCAACCAGATTCGAGCAATCAAAGTCAGCTTTATTAAATTTAAATAAACAATGACGTATCAATGACGTATTAAATTTAAATAAACAATGACATAGCTTTTTTCGGACTTTAAATTACAAATATCTAATTCACGTCTGTTTCAGCGTCGATTCCTAGTAGAATGAAGTTACTAAATGCGTTTGATTTACACATGTCATTTCTGTGTCGTGTCATGAGTGCAGTGTGCATGTACAGTGTGGTGTGCGTATGATATATGCGTCTTATGTGGTGTGTGCATTACCTTTGGTACATCTCAGGTGGCCTATGTGATGTAACGTCTGTTTTGTGTGTGATATACGGTATACATGTATCATGCGTTACGTGTGAACATTATGTGCTGCAAAAGTTTTTTCCCTGATATGGAAAACAAAGAAATATTCCTAGTATTATCATAACATCGGCCCCCTTTATTTATCGGTGAGTGTAAGATATTTGGAAGTATGCTAACGCATCTGTAGATCGTGAAGAAATAAATATAACTCAATTTCTTAGTGATATGGCACAATAACATAGTCAGACAATTGATAGATAGCATGGTCGGAATCAGTCATGATCAAAAGTTATCCATATTCTTGATTACGAAATAGACGATGCTCATCGTGCATAACGCGCAATCGACGGATCGGTTCCTGTAATTGCCAGAATTTTATGGGTCTGTTACAATCGTATCCGAGTCAAAAGATCGTACGTATGGGTAAAAGTTGTGGCCACGTTGCGGGGGGTTGGTTTGTAGGTGGTTTAGAGATAGGTAGTTGAAAATGCATTACCGTGGTCGTGGCATATGGCGCGATGCACGCATGACTCGTCAACAGGGCAGGATGATAATTATGCATCGCACGCCACACGTAATGGCACGGCTCTTACCGACACATCAAGAAATTAATAATTAGCGTGAGGCGGAACAGGCCGAGCGCGAGAGTTACGTCACGGTGCACTTAATTAAAATAGAACGGAGCCCGAAGAACGCGAGGGTGAATCCTTCGTTCCTTCGCGTACCGTTCATTTCAACCGATTTAAGCGCGCACGAAATTTAGCAAGATTAACGAGATTTAACGTGGAATTTCACTTGTATCAGCGTAACGAAGTAATACGTCGATGTGGACTTCATAACTCAACGAGACATTGACGCATTTTACTTTCGAAGAGAAAACTTGGTTATAATACACCATTAACAATGGGGTTAAAGTGGATAACGCCGTATACTTTACACAGTATGCGAATGTATTTCGTTGTACATAATTTAATAATAAACATTAACAGTGGAAATATGTATCGTGTGTTTGTTTCTAGGAATCCGAGGGCCAGAAAACGAACAATGGAATCCAATACAGTTTGCATCTGCTATATTCAAATGGTAAGTAACGAACGAACGATATTAATTGTGACTCATTCGTTGCATCTGTTTATGCATTGTCTTTTGTAATGTAAAATGCTATTGAAAATTAATTACCTCTTCTTTCGTAAAGATCAATTTTCATCGCATTCTGCTTATAAAATTAATCCCTATCTCTATGAATTCAATTTGACTCTACCTATTTCAAAATATAATGTCGGGGGAAATGAAGGATTTACCAAAAAAGGTCTCAGCATTTTTCTTTTTAATAAAACACAATTCGTACGACCTCTTTCCGATTATTCGTTTCTCCGTTTGCTGTCTCAATATAAACGTTATTTATTGCAGAACGTAACGTTTCGAGTATTTATTTGAGCATCCTAAAAGTTTCAGCAAATAATCAACTATTTATATATTATTCTCACTACCTGTATATACGTTATACATAGTTAATATTCATAGGTTTCCATAATTTCAACATTTTTTATGCACCATGACAAGAGAAATTAGTCAAAACGTGATTTTTGTTCTTTCTTGTTTACTCACCCACCCGTCGAGATAGGTACTTGAAACTTGGCACGGATGAGTCTTTTTTGATAACATATGGAATACATCATCGCAAATCGAAATCGGTCTAAGAGCACTTATGACCCCCAAACCCGGCTATACCCTTTACTTCAAATTTTTATTTAGACAACCATGTCTAAATTTAATACGCCGCAAAGTGTTAATACTCCAAAATTACCTACCGAACAATTAGCAAATTCTTGCTAAAACCGCGAAACGCACAATTTTTTCGGTTACATTCGAATAAAAAACATTCGAAGCGAGTATGCAAACAAAGTATTGGAAGTGTTCGTGGAGCGAGGCCCTTGAAAGTGACGATGACGGCCCATCAACATTCCGCACAGACACCCGGTCTCGCAGGACCGCTAAAAAGCTCAGGAACTTTCGAGGCTCGATCGCAACAGAGACATATTTTATGTCACTGGACCGGGCCCGGCAAAAAACGTTTAGCTTCCGTCCTGAAGAAGTCTCGAAACGTCTGTGCGCGAGCGAAGGAAGGAAAGGAGAAACGCGGAGAAAAGGCGACGGAAGAAGTCGGTGATCTAGAGGTGGTCCGAGCAACAGACCTCCCAAAAACGTGCTCGCATTATGAACATATTAAAAAGCCGCAAGGCGCTATCTGCTAGCCCTCTCCATTCCAATCGTTTTTCACTCTGTGTACGTCAAGAACAACATGAAACTCGGTGGTGTTTCCTTCATATTTATTTCTTGCCGGTTCTCGTGGCTCTTTCTCTCGCGACTATCTTCCTCATTTCTTTTCCAATTCCTTTCCCTCCCCTTACCAGGTCGTCCCCCTTTCTCTTTTCAGCAGCCTACACCACAGGCCTTCTTGCCGGTGCTGTTGCGAGCCGATCAATCAATGCGAAATTTTTGCGTTGGCAGAACTGACTGAGGGGCCGCGCTCGGCCATCTATGGACACTAAAACGTGTTGCCAACATCGCATACAAGAAATAAACTGACCGTCGCAAAAGTATGGAATACCTATGTGTACCTACAGGATCGTAGATCCTCCATTCTCCCTCCTACTTTTCGTTTCCTACTCGAAACTACGGCTGTCGAAGCTACTCGCAACTCCGAGTCTAAGTACGTCCAGCTACGTCTTTCCCTCTGGTCGCTGTCATGTAATTTCGCTCGTATTTTCAACATCGTGTCCGGGGGAACTCTTACCGTTTGACAGATTTGTATATTGGAACTCGATTCGAAGCGAAGGATTTGCCCTGTCGGATTAGAAATTATTTAGGACTATTTCGGTGTAATGCTTATATTACGGAGTACGGTTTTCGAGACGGTATTTTATGAAATTATGCCAAGCGATGTATTTATACGAACAAGTTCGATTGAATAGTATCTCAATCCTATTATCTATAGGTACTTTATAAATGTCTTGTCAAAGTTTAAACATATACAAGGTGTCCCGTAACTGGTGATACAAACGGGTAGGGGATGATTCTACGAGAAAAAGGAAATCGAAATTAAGTGCAAAAAAGAAGGATAAAAATCATCAAACGAGAACAAAGATTATGCATTAAATTTACTGGGTTAATAATTATTACCGTGAAAACGATAAGACTAGAAAAATTATGAATATATGTATCAGCGAAGATGGCCAAAGCACGAATGTAACGAAACTTTCCAGAAAAGCGCCCGATGGAGCCAAACAATTCAACGTAACGGAAGCCTGTGCGTCTTCTATCGCGGTACCGGTTATACCATTTGGAGTGGATCGGCGGATCAGCGCGGCTCTGATTTATGCCTCGATCCGGAGATCGGTCTTCTGGTTGGACATTCAAGGCGCATTTTATACAAGTTTCATGCACGAAATACTTTACCGAACAGCTTTTACAACCTTAAAGACAAATTGGCACGAGTCGATGCTCGCGCAGGTCCCATCGCGTCTCCCTTTCCGACTTCTTGTTTCCACGTGGCTGAGTTCTCGACTATTCGAATTGTAGGTTTTCACGTCACCGATCATTTGATCGTGCAGTAAATCTTTAATTAAATTATACGCGCGGAGTACGGCTTTCCGTCCAAGTGTCGGCGGAGTTTCGCCATATCGGGCTCCTACCTCTTTTTGCTCGCGCGGCTTCCCGCGACTTATCATCAATTTCGTTCTGTTTCTTTCATTTTTGCTGCGTCCATCTTTTGCTGGATGCTGCGACGCCCTTACGCATCTAAAGCGAGGTTTCCAGTGATTGCTAGCGCCAGCGGCGTGTCGGTTTAACGGGTTCGGTATCGGTGGCGCCAGTTTTTGTTTCCATTAGTTTTTATGGCGCTTAGGTGGCGTTAATAGTTATAATTCGTGCAGTTTATTAGTGTTGTAGTAAGAATTTTATGTTGGGAAATTTAGAAAATATTCAACGGAAAGAAAAATAAAATTTGAGCACGACGACGGATGTTCATGCAAATTCATATTTTTATATACATAGATGGCCAACAGAGATTTAAATGAAGATGTGTTTTCTTCTTGTAAGACACTTGAAGACTGATTGAAGACACTTGCAGTCAGGGAAACAGAGATGTAAACAGATCGAGCGAACAGGGAGTTGTATCGCAAAAATATAACAGAGTGTAATAAAAGCGGCGCTGATCACGAATGCCGATCAAAGGGATCAAATGGGTGGTGTCTGCTTCTTCGATAACTTCTTGCACGTATGAAGTTGGTCACCTAGTTATGCTAACGCGAACAGACCTATCTGCCTCTCAGCGGGACTTGCCACGCGATGCTGCTTTTTGCATTGCTTCTTTTCGATCTTTTGCTTTTATTGTCGAGGTTCCAGCCATGATCGCGACTCGTCGCAGTGTCTGTAATAAACGTACGTACGTTTACGTGGCGCATCACAGCCACGTGCTGGTAATCGTGCTTGCTTCGGATGGATCGACGTACTTGCATAAATGAATTCGCTTGTTCGACCACTGATTTTATACAGTTTTGTCTTACATATCCAGACACAATATTCCATTATCCCTAAGATCGGGTATATTTTGTAGAGTGCCGCACTATGATCGATATTATAAGTTATGAAAAACTTGTAAAGTGAAGAAGAAATTCCCTATAAATTGATTTTTTTTTTTTTTTTAATTCACACATCTACGGGCCTAGAATTTCCCGCGAAAATAGTTCCGCAGTCAAAGAGTATCCATGGTATCACACACAGTCCACGAAAACTTTGCGATGAAGGAAGCGTTAACAATTTGGTGTTCTTGTTGGAGGTTTTTCAATCATCCAGCGTAATCGACGTTCTACGCGTAACAAATCCTGACATCGCTACTCCCTAACCGGATAGAAACCGGCAAACTGGCGGGGCGTGCCAGTATCTTCCGGTAAAGCCGCGACGGTTTCTCGAGGTAATTTGTGAGCTAGTTTCGGGCGGAGTATCGTAATCCACGGTAACGTTATGCGGCGCGAGTCTGGCCCGTAGTAGCCACCGCGCTTGGGAGTCTTATGTTGGGATTACTTGGCTTACCGGATACGCGAGGCCGGAAGCCACGAGGGTGTCTGTCCAAAATACTCCCCTGGATTACCTGGCGGTCCCTCTGGAAGATAGGAACGGTTCCGAAAACTTGCTACATTGAAATGTCTGTACACATTGAACGTGGTTCGGTTACCGACAACGAAAGGTAATAACGCGGTAATACGGACGAAGGATGATCACGTGACAAAATTACTCGCTCGAGGTAATAAACCCCGAGTACTGGACTAGCGAATCGGTAATAACAAAACGGTCGCTAATGGCGGTAATTTTACGCAATTACAATGTCGCGCTTATAAATTACAATGAGAGCTTGCGTGTCCTATTACTCGTGAAATAAGTTTCTTGGTATATGATGCGAACGTTATGAATCCCTCGCACTTTAACCGATTTTATAACGTTACCTACTAGCAATTCGTAGTGTTATATTCTATCATTAAGAAAACAGTCAAGGGTTGTAATTCACGCTTTACTTAATTTTTCAGTATTCTTACTTACTTATAAAGAAAAAATGTTTTTACCTTCTCAAATATACCTGAAACTTGATAATGTGATTTGATTTATTCAAAAGTGGAAAAACTAAATTTATTAACTAAAATTTCGATGTATTAGCATGTGACCTGAAGGTTACACGGGTCTATAAAGAGTTAATGACGTTACAATCAGCAATAAAAATTGTATACGTTGTAAAAGTAGCCTTGATTCCACCTGAACTTTGAGGCCCTCCAAACTCCAACCGATCGAGAATATGCCTCAAGTTCCGTAAACTCTAAAAGTATTTCTCCTGCCGGAGCCCATCGTTTATCCGGTCATCATTAAATTCTCCGAAGCAACGCAAACGGCGAGCCTGGCGAGGCTAAAGTCGCAAAAATAATTAACGCACTACACGTACAAGAATTTGCCTTCCTACCATGGTTCGTTGCATAGCGATCTTCTCGGTGAAGTCGGTACTCGACCGTTCAAAGTACGGGCTGGGCCCATGCAAAAACAACGAAGATTGTGCATACGTCCCCGGGGATGCGATCGGACCGCTTGCCTCGTCGTCCACCTTAAATGCTCCTTAATATGTATGTTTTTCTGGGACAGTCCCTTTCTGCGGCGCCCAACTTGTCAGAATTTGAACTCGTTTCCGTATTCGTCGTATTCCATGCACATCCGTCGCAAATGCCTGCGCGGAACGTTCTTAACTTAATGGGCCTTCTTACCGGATGACTGAAAAACTCGTGGACTAAATTGAATAAAGAGCAGTATTGTCTGTGCGTTTACCTAAAAAACATCAAACTATTATCGGTTCTAAAGAGCCAGCTACCAATTATCTTCCATTAATCAACGTGACTAACTTATATTCTAGTTTATAAAAAAACATCGGCATTTATAAAATAGATGTTTATCCAAACCTAAATATATGAATTAGTTTCAGTGAATAAATATTTGTATTAATTGCGTATACTCTTTCGTGAAATGTATTAACATTGTATATTGATATTTGTAAAACTTGACGGTTATTTTCTACACAGCACTTTCCATTATTTCTGTTGTAGGTGTCAGACAGGTGCAAGATATTTACGTGAGGCTTATCGACTCCGCAACGAAACAGGTGAGAAAGAATGTTTCATATTTGTTTATTGATTAATTGAAATAGTTTTTCGACCGCTCTTATACAAAATGGAACCAAGGAATCCTATTCTTACAACTAACAATAATTATACATTTAATCAATTACACAGTTCGAATTAACAATTCACTTCAATATGAAGCATAATTAATATATTTTATACAGTACCTCTGACTTTTGCACTCTGTGTTCGATCTAATGGTAAAGGAGAGGGTAGGTTTATTTCTTGTATAAAAAGAGCAGTGGAACAGAAGAATTCCTTCATTCGTTATAGATTTTAATCATGTTTTATCGATTTCATATAAAAATTCAATTTCAGAAAAATAAATTATTGATTTTAAACAAATTCTTTTTCACGAATTCTTTTGCTTCTTACTCAAAGGAGAATAAACTTTTAAATAAATTGCACAGAATTTTACCTAGAGTTACCAATCAGTGATAATATGCAAAAAGTGGGTTAACGAATTTTTAATTAATGCAAATCATCGTATAGAACTGACTCATAAATTATCGTTTTCCTTTCTTCTCGATTGCCGTTTCCGTGCGACGTAACTCTACCCAAATAGACGTAGTGACGCGTTCCTACCGCTGTTATCATCTGAGCTACAAGCACTTAATTTTCCGGGGGGTTGATTCCTACCCCTCCGGGAAAGCGGCCACCGCCGCGCGTCTGCCCCATCCTGTTATCTGCGCCACGTGGCGAACCGTGCGCACGGTCCGCGAACCACGTGTTGTTACCCTGTACAGAGGGCCGTAGATCCTGGTGCAGTGATAGGGCGCAAAGAAGGATCATAACCTTCGAGCAAACGCAAATACGCGGGTCGATCGCGAGCGCGATAAGTCCTTTGTGCGTTCGAGGGTGTTACTTTAGATGCGACAGAACGTTTTCTGCGAAGCGTGATTCGCGCCTACAACACATACGCGATCTAAACCTAACCACAAACGCAGTCTATGTCTCACAAAATCGAGTCAAAGAATAGCCTCGTATAAGTATGTTACATCCAAGGTAAACTAAACACTTGGAAGGCGTTGCGTTGCTCGTGTCTCTGTCAAGATAAGCTATGAAAGAATTAAAGTTGAAAAGTCGAAAGTTCAAACTACAACAGAAACTATAACAAATTTCTGAAGATGTTAACGTTTGCAAAAAAGGTTTTCGGAAGAGTCGGGGCAGAAAATTAAATTTAAAAGATTCGAGTAGTGGCGGTAGAGTAGATTTTCTAGTAAAGGGCTGTATGTCTATCGGACGGGAGATATACTCACTTTCTTGAATTATTTTGTTTCATGTCGCGACCCCAGGACCTTAGTGCCTATAGGTACCTGTACCATTTTAGAAGATTAAATCATCTTGGGGTTGGTCGGTTACGGAGGTAAGAAGAGCAGTAGGGAGAAGAAAGAGACGGTTGAGGACGAGGAGGGTTGGGGAAACAGAGCTGATGTTAGTTTTAGCTGATTAAATTACTAAGCCGCGATGGCCTTGCGTCGGCAGAGACCGTTCCTCAATTCGCGATCCATTCCTTTTATTAATCGGTTCCGAGTTGCCGTGCGAATGAATAACTTTTAAAAACGAACATCCGTTGTGTGCGTTAAATTGCCTTTAAAGGTATATTGGCTGTTCGCGTTACATACGCGTAATGGTTTCAGAAAGAATGTCAGTGACACGTTTAGCTAACAATAAACAGTAATCGGTCCATATTATATATACTATAATGATTATGATGCAACAGTGATTTAACTGATATCCACATCTACTACTGATATCACTTTGGACTAGATCATTTGGAGTGATCTATTTGGAGCGAATCGACAAGTATATGTGTTTTTATAAAACTACGAGGTTTCTTCGTAGAGCCTTTAAAAGGTCTATTCTTATTTAAATCTAGAAAATTTCATCACTAGATGATTGAGTACTTAGAAACAGTAGGTGTGTTTCTTTAAAAAAACGAAGGTTCGTTTATGAAACATGAACTCTCCATCTTAAACTCATTCTAGATCAGGCAATCAATCGTAACTTTTGTAACATTATTAAATAATCAACTAATATTATCACGGCTTCGGTGGATTTTAAATACATAGATAGTGCGCTTCTGTATCCATTAAAACGACGTGTGCGTCTTTTTTTTAATGCTTTCAGAGCATTAATCCAGGGATTCCCGGCGTTTGTTAATTTTTCAGAATATAGCACACAGTCGGAACACGTCAACCCAGATTTGCTAAACACTTCGTGCAAGTTGTTGCGTGAAACTCCATATACGAACAAAGTAAATATATATCGATTCTCGTGTCTGTATGTCTTCCTCTCGCTTTGGCAGAATGGAGGAGACGCGTTCAATCGAGGCTTTGATGTATAAATTGCAGCTTTCTCGTTTTCGATCCCACCTCCCCATCCAACTTTCTACTCCCTTTACCGGCACGATTCCTCCATAGAGACGAAAAGAGTATCCCGGCATCTATCACTTCTGCTTTTCTTTTCCTCGTGGACAATTGTTCTCGAGAACTATCGAGGCGTTTACCCCGCTCAAGATTCCGTTTCATTCTTTTACCGATGTTTCCGACGGTTCGAAATTTAGCCACTTACTATTTTCACGTTGTTGCTAAATCCGTGAACGGTGAATAACTCACAGCAATATTTAATTTTATAGTAATGTTTACGTACAAAAGTTTCTTACACAGATAGATTTTTCTCTTTATACTTCAAAAGCAATATTTAATTTTATAATAATTTTAACTGCCAATTCGGAAATGCCATGCTTTTTATGTATTCCATTTCGAGTTCATGTTATTCATTGTTCAAACTGTATACTTTTATTTTATTTTGCAGTATGGCACCCTTTGTAACCTCTGCCACTCCCTTATCCATTGTTATACCAAATTATGATGACAGCAATTTGCATCAAGAAAAAGTGTTCTAAGTAATACAACACGTGTTCTAGAAATCTTCAATGACAACTAAATCTCTTAACACATTCGCGACCGGCAGATATTTTACGTTCCTAAAGCTGGACATCGCAAATTTGTATCGTTAGGGCGAACATAAAAATGACAAAATATATTTCGAAATATCATTGTTGTACATATGTAGTGTATAAAATACAAAAATTTTCGTAATTTTTTCATAACCAGGAATAGAATTTGAAGCGACGTAAATTCTCGTCAGCGGTCGCGAATGTGTTAAACAAAGTGCCATTTCCTTTCCTAAACAAAACAACCCTAAATAATTCCTAAATAAAGATAAAGTTCCATAGACGAGCATCGGAGTTATGTTTCGTAAATTCGAATTCGGAAATGTGGCCGGTTCCTGGAAACCGAATCAAGCGGTCGATTATAAATCCGCAATAATTTGCTACACCGAGCTGGCTGCTAAGCTCGCGACGAAGCCATCCCGCCCCTAAGCTGTTCTTCAATTTCTTCGCTCGGAGCACTCTCGACGAGGAAATGGAAAAAGGAGAAAAAAAAGGGAGGAACGGAATGTCGAGAACTGCCGTGCGTTTCTCGCTAAAATTTCCAGAAAAATACGAGCAGCTTCCACAGAAAGAAAAGAGTGCCGTGGAGCCACGGCTGAATGGCGCTAACAACGTACGTTGTAAACATTCGAGAACGAACTTCCGGCCAGGAAGAGGGAAGGAGAAAGATGGGAGAGCCAGAATGCGTTTTTTCGCAGGATTAAAAATGCTAAATGGTAATTAGTTCCGGGGATAAAAAAGCACTTACAGGATGGGAGCAACAGCGAACCGCGTACCGCCGTTATTCTAAATGAATGAACAACAGGAAATTGTACCTAACCCTTTTAAGCTCCAACTTCTATCCGCCGCTGGAGATGATCAGTCGGAACTTCCTCCTTTTTTTTTTTGCGAAACATAACCCGCGGGAATTGAGAAGAGAATCGAGGAAGGATTCCGTGAAACATCGCGCTGATGTTGCCGTCTCTATGGCCGGTGCCCTAAATCGGCCATCGAAACTCGAGCTTCTGTTCCCATCTCGTTGTCGTCCGGTCCGTCTGTTGGAAAAGAAGCAATATCTACGAATCGAGAGGTGACGTAGCTTACGTAATCCTTAAACATTGCCAAATCGAATTGGTATCAACCTCCGTACGTCGAGCAGACGTGCATAATACTGAAATATGAGAATTTAACTATAGATTAAGGAAATAATGGGTTCGAGATAAGTTAATCCTTGGCAGATAAGGAGAGGAGGAGAGTGTGTCGGCTGTCTCTATGCCGGTGGACATTCTTTCAAGGGGTGAGAGTAACATTGCATGTACGTTGTACAATGGTGTGTACGTCAGACGTCGGGGGTTGCACGACCGATGGAGAAGGGGATTCCCAGGGGACTTTTCGATTCGATTCGGGATGGAAATCATTACGGGAGATTTGAATGACTATCTTCGAATTTATCTCCGCCCTTCTGTACGTTTTTCCTTCCTTATTCTACTGTCATTTTCGGAGGCCCGTCGCGAACAAAATTATGGTTTTGTTTCCATGAGCGTTTTCGACTCTTCCTTGCATCACTGTAAACTCGTAAAATGGTCATTATTCTGTTTGTTTGTTTACATTTACATTAGTCGCTCGATGACCTCTTTGTTTACTAGAAAGTGCTACATCACGTTTTGATTAATTCGAAACACAATAGTCAAGCGACTTCAGTTGAACCGCGAACGTTGAACAAAGTTAAGGTAATTCACACTTTGATCAAATAATATTGACTTGCAAGAATTGGAAAAAAAAATCAAGATCAGCGGAGTAGGTGCACCGTCGTTATTAGTCCGTAAGTAATTCCCGTGGGAATTGGAGGGCAGCGGGGAGGCCCAAACGTTTCTATTGGGACCAAAGGGTAATGGAAGAAAGGCCCCCGAGGGGCTGACGCTGACTGCTGGTATCCCCAGGACGAGTTGTCTGACGTTGCTTCCCACCTCCCTCTGCTTACTTGAGCCAGCTACCCCTTGAGATATTCGACGGCATAACCACACACTTTTCAGCGGATAAGTGTGCCCGTAAAAGAGGTGTACCATCAACAGTGACTCTTTTTGAGACTTCGCGATTATGAAAGTAGCTTGCAAGCAACGGGGGGAACGGTAAACAAATTCTTTAATAACCTTAAACCACTTACGACGACATTAAGTGAATGCTCTGGTTTACGAAAAATAGTCGGTTTACAGAAATTTCTTTTGTTACGAAGAATGGAATATTAAAGCATGACCAATGGCATAACACTAAGTAATGGTAAAACGACGTATTTATATTTTTTGATTGGTGATTTTTTCCGAATAAATATAGAAATTATAAGACAACTTGCGTAGAAGATACTTGGATCAATCGCCTAGAGAAGAAAGTAATTTATTGATCGATGTGGGTATGCGTACCCATACACGTTATAGATAAGCAATATTGTCGATGTAGGTGACAGCGAAGACAAACAAGGACTTAGCGTTTCGCGAGAATGAAGGGTGTAGTAAAAAGTAATTGCTCGAAATTGTTCGCAAGTGCGACAGGTAAGCTAAATCAACACGTGTCGTACCAGTGGTAATGATTGCTGAACAAATAATATCGCATGTCGTATCACAAGCTATACATGACCTACCCGACAGTCGTTACACGTATAAGCAACAATTATTGTAGGTGACATGTGAATACTGTCTTAAATTATAGAAGTAGTGCCATCAAAGTTTGACAAGTTTATTAGTTCCTTCGAAAAACAGTGACACGCGTTCATTTAAAATAATTACTATCTTTCGAGATTGCTATATACGAAACTTTTGTATCTGAATCTCCAATCGATATTTGTTTATAAATGCACTTAGGGAGACCTAGAGAAAAAAATCTGTTTGTCAGAAAATGTTTTATAATAAATTGTTCGATTCTACTAATAATACTGCAATATTTAAAGTATTTATTTAATCAATTACCAAGTACTTACTAAGCGTTGACGGAGTATTCAATCATTTTCGCAAATAAAAGTACATGTATCGTACATATTTATAGACTGTATTAAAAAGTTTGTACGAAACTTCAGGGGAATGTAGTACTCATTAAAACAAACGAACAAGGTTCAATATAAACAGGTTGAAAAATCACAGAATAATATACAAGATTCGTGGTCAAAACGATGATAAGTTTGAAAAACAAAAAAATATATAACCGTTGAGCAAGTATAACCTCTATTCTAGAAGTAGAAGTTAATGCGTACAAGGGAGACACTTATGTTAATTATTCTCGGTACAAATAAGATCGCATGTTGCTCAACTATTAGAAGCCGTAATGGTCAAAGGGCACGTAACGTTTTATGTCTCCTTTCGCTTTCCCGTTACCAGGAATATGTACTCTTCCCCTCCCGGTCCCCCCTTTCCTCGTGTTTATTCTTGCCCCTCCGTATTTTCGGGCTGAAGTTTTTACTTCGAGAGGGGATGCTTCCCTGATTTACCTACGGCCACGAATACAGTCATCGCGGTTCGTTTACGTTGCAATTCGGTTATTTCGTTCGTATAAATATTTGATGTCGCTCCAGAAGTCGCACCTAACTGCCGAGGCGAAATGTATTTCATACCGTTACCAGGGCTCTCCGCTATTCAACTGCTCTTGCATGCCGAGTACCAACGTCAACCCGACGAATTCCCTGGGATACTGTATTTCAAAGTATTTACATTTTATCGCTCCTTCGTAAACTCTGGCAATTTTGATCGTTACATGCAATCTAGCATGAAAGCCACCGGCGATAAATTGCAAAAGTGATACGGTTAACGTGTCTATCGCATGGAGATACAAACGTTCGAACGGTAGTTATGCTCTTTTTTTGGGTCTGTTTAACGAATAGTGAATGAAATTACTGTCGCGTCGATTTGCATATATTTAAAACGTACATCACGAAATGTGTGTGTATTCAGTTTATTTACATTAGGTCTCCCAACGCTTAGACAGAGAAATTGAATTGCAATAAAAATAAATTTGTGCAAATAATACAGAGCTAAAAGTTGCGACTCGCGTTAAAGAGTATTTATCATCCTTCGAAGGATATCCCTCGCCGAGATCAAAGGAAGCCCACCTATCCACATTGTGTTATTCTAGGACTAATCCGCATCTTGTTCCCCAATCGTGAGTGCCCGTGCACAGGGTAGTAACGCGTTGTCATTAAATAAAAATCAATCAGAAGGCTGTGAAGGAGGCTTAACGGATTTGCTTAGGCCGCCCATGGCTTACCGATCCTGTAGGGAACTTGCCGACCTGCGGTGCGGAGTTCTTTAATGCCCTGCGTGTTTTCCACCAGTTTCAAAATTATCAAACACAGCAAACAACAAAAAGTATTTAACCTTCTAATGGTATTAAGCAAATATTTCACGATAACATTAGTGATTAGCCTGTAATATTGTTCATCTGTAATTTAATCCATGCATCTATCGGTAGATTGCTAAGTCACATTACTATATTGGAAACTGTCATAAATTTACTTCTAGAAAATTATTATTATTGTTTTAAATGTAGTTAAAACAATCATTGATGAAATTATTGTTAAAAGAATCAGTCGATTAATAGAGAATAAACTGCGATTTGTTCTGCAACAATGTCATTTTCTGTTTCAGGCTATCATGTACGAAGGACAGGATAAGAATCCTGAGATGTGCAGAGTCCTTTTGACTCACGAGGTGATGTGTAGGTAAGTTACTTTCTGCAATGACTAGCAAAATATGGCTTATCATCATCACTTGCAAGAATGATATATTTGTAAATTCAAATAACACCAAAAAAGCTAAATTCTTCAACCGTATCACTTATCTTCATTTGCAAGATTAATATACTTAAAATTTCAAATGATACCGATACAATAAAATTCCTCAATATTGGCAATTTCAATGCCGTAACGATAGTTTTATACAGAGTTGTAATAACAAATGTACCTTGAGATCATAATTCCACTGCAAGCGACTACGTATGCAAGAAGAGGAGAGTATGTGCTCGCTATGCAACCAACCACCCTTACGGTGGCAAACCATAAACGTAACGAAACACACGAGGGTACAGTCATTCTTCGGGGGTGGCTGACTCATTGACCCATGGGACTTCGGTCTGACTACTCTCCACCCCCGAACTTGCGAAGTCTCAAGGGTTCTGGTAGTTTTTAGCCAGTCTCGAAAGTTCTGACCCTTCTGGACCCACGAATCGAATTGAGGCTGACATAGCGTACGCTTTCTGCGAGCGAACTATTCGAAAATTACGCGCGCCTACCGATCTCTGACTTGCCTATCTTGTTTCGTTGCAGCCGATGTTGCGATAAGAAAAGCTGCGGGAACAGAAACGAAACGCCAAGCGACCCTGTGATCATCGACCGGTGAGTCAAATTTCTCACGTTCTCTATCATATTTCGTCAAGCCTTGATATCATGATTTTTGCCTCGTCACTCTTATTGTAATTAACGATATAAACTGGTTGTGCATTATAAGCGTGAAAAACAATCCTAAATATGAAATTAAAATGGAAAAGATTCGATCTGGAAGCAAAAAAGTATCATACAAATTGACAGTTTCCTCTTTTTGGGCTTTTACGCATAAAATAATTAAATTATGCACATAAATGTTGAATAAACTTGTTCTCTATCTCTCTTCCTAGAAAAGAAATGATGGAAACCTTAGTTTTAATTTACTATTAATTGTTTTCTCTCCATACATTTAAATCACGTTAAATTTATGAATACATTTTAATTTTTACTGGGATTGGAATGGAAATAGCAAATTGTATCTACTTTTTACGCATAACAAGTTTTCCCGCCAATAGCACAGTATATTGTCACTTCTCCGCGACGAGAGTACTTGTCAAAACCCGTTAACCGGTTAACGAGCAGGCGTACGTATCGCCGAATTTCATAGAAACATCAACTGCTATAATACTAGTTTACCAACCCCGGTATCATCGTTCGCAACGATCTGGGAAATAAGGGTTCAGATAACTCGTTCTCGAAGGTAGCCAGCTACGAGATAGCGTTGCATCCCGTCACAACTAGAAACCCAGGATATTTAGGCTTGCAAAATACGTTTCCTACGAGGTGCGGCGAGGCTGCAAGGTAGCAGAACACTCGAATACTCAGACGTACTTATACCTCCTCCACCTTCTGCATGGTGCTGCTTGTCCTTGGAAATACATGCACACACTCTTTCTCTCTCTGTCTCTCCTCCGACACCTACCCCCTTTCTCTCTCCCCCTCATCCACACACAAATACACAACCTGACATGGGAGTAGTAGGGTGAGCCTGATATCTGAATAGTCTATAGAGTGTCCTGAGATAGGAACGGTAGGAAGGAAGAGGTTTCCCGCGGGACACAGGCCGAGATAGTCTTCAGGAGGACATCTTGTGCTCAGGGGTGCTCAACGTCCGGTTTTCGATACAACGGCGTCTCGGAGCTTTCATCCCCATCCACGGGATACGTGTTACACGTAGGAGACAGGTAAAGCCTACGAGGCTTGCACATAACTATTTTTCCGTTGCCTTGCAGCCTTTTCGTATCCGCATCTCCTGGATTTAAGTGCATAGGCGTTATTTATAGTTTTCGAGAAAATGTCCCCTTCAGCTTGAAAAGGTTTGGTCGTGCAGTTTGAGAAACTGTTGTTAAAATATTTGGTTCTCGAGAAAATGTTTTTTTCGTATCATTTCATAGAGAAGAAGTTGTCGAGTCTTGTCTTTGATTAAACAAATTTACTACTAAATTAACAGATTCAGTATTCATTTATTTTTTGAACTACGCATTCTAACAATTATTTGTTGTAACTGGGAACAGAAAGACATTGTCACATTCTAATTTTGCATTCGTATTCGAAAAGGTCGCGCACCTCCAAACACTTTATTTTTTTCATTTCTGAAAATGATTCATCATAGAACAAGAAAGAAAGAAGAAAATTATTATTTGTTTTACATCCTTCCTTCGTTTAATAAGAATTCGAACAAATTTTCATTATTACTCCAGCCAAGCCTGTAAGCTTATGACACCGTGTTAGCCTCATTATAACGAATTTGCGTCGAAGTAAGTCTCATCCGACGAAGCATTAGAAAAATTAATTTCGAAAATGCTGGTTCGGCATGTGGCACGCACGCAACCAACTAACATCGTATAAACCGTGATATAATGTAAATGCAGCCACGTTGTGGTCGCGTGTCATATCGAGAGCCACCCTAGACTACGTCTCTCAGCTTGGTTTGCGGTAGATCGTGCTGGACGTAGAGTAAATGAACGATCCATAGGATTAGAAGATTGACTTAGCATACAGACTATGTTTGTCAAGCATTTGCATTAATAATACTTATAGGAGTTTCTAAAACTAAATGTTGGTACGGTTAACCCTTGAAAGTCTGATTTTTCAAATTAAATTTTAAAAAATATTAATGTATTTATTGCAGTAGCCAGATACAGGGAAAAGTAATAAAAGGAAATCACAATACGTATTTTATATAAAAACAAACCAATTGCAAGTGCACAATTCGATTTAAAAGTCTGGTATCAAATTTGAAAATTTACGAGCTTCTTTAGCAATAATTTGTGACTCACAAGGCTATAAACTTATCGTTTGAATAATTGCAATCAGTTTGAAGTAGGACGCATCTCGTAGTTCGCAGTGAATGTATTAATCATCCCTTGTCTTCCAAAGTATAAAAATATTATGAAATTTCGAATGAATGATCTGTCTTCTATATACTCTAACTAAGAACTCTAATTATGGTCTTGTCCTCGAAAGGCTTCGCCGGATTGTCTCCTACGGCGTTCGGTGAAAGAAAGTGATAGGGTGAAAAAATGGCCACGCTTAGGCATAGAATCCGCTTTTGTTATTTGTTCCTTTTTTTTTTAGTCAGATAAACACGATTGATTGGGGGTTGCGTTGTATTTTCTGCACAGTTGAGCGAGCATGTCACAATCGACCGGGGCCGTCTCAATCAAAGTGGCATTGATACCCTTCGTTCATTCTCTCGAACGGGCCCTCGCGCTCTGCATTGCGGTTTTGTTCCCGACCGAAAATCTATTAGCCCACCAATATATACATACATATATTCCAGCAAGCAACACATACGCATACACATACAAACACTGCTCCCATATGGAACGGACACCAATTTTAATGGCCAATAAAACCAAAAAAACTGATCGTTAAAAATCTTTAAATCTCCATTGATTATTTCTATAAAAAAAAATTAAAGTTGAAATCGTTATAGTGTACTCCTACTTTCAATAATTGCAAAAGCCGAATTATTTTAATACTTTTTCAAAGACAAAATTGTGTACTAAACTTTAAATCTTATTAACCCATTCGCGACCGATTATTAAGCGATATGTGAATACTTAGAACATCTACCATACAATTGAATCGTACTTATGAAAATTGTCATCGAAATAATCCTGTCACACTCAAAGGGTCAAAATGGTTATGACTACCGAAACAGTTCTGATTGATCAACACGCAACATCGATCAGCGACGTCGCGAGCAGACGCGCCGCGAGAATAGTCCTAGAGAAGCCGGTATTAGACTCGGAAACCAATTAACATGCATAATTAAAATGGCATTGTCATGGCCGTACAGCGCCAGGGGCTCTTCCGTCGACTGACGAATCTCCCGGGACAAACGCCGTTCCATAATTATGAAAATCCTCTTCCCCATCTACGGCCAGTTCCTCGATTTACCGTGTACCTCCACCCTGTATCACTCTTTTGCCAATTGGGAATGGTTCGGCACGCAGGTAACCCTTTGGAAAACCTGAGGCAGGGCGAAAGAAATCGGACACCGTGTTGTCACGACGGAGGACAGAATTTCTTTTTGTAAGAGTAGAAGCATGCGCTTTTCTTGAAGTCAGTTGTCAGTTTTCTTCTAAAACCAGACCCCAACTGAACATAATGGGTTAAAACGACGAACGGGCTCCAAATAACTTGATTATATTTGTACCGGTACCATTGATAGGGGATCTTATTTTAACGAACCCACCATAATCCGACCAAGAAAGAGAATGGAAAGACAAGCCCTTTCCATTTTTACGTTTCATTCACTTGGAGTTTCCATAAAACTCTAGTCTCGAGCAATTGCAAGGAAGGTTGCTCTTGGGTTTTATATTACTGGTAAAGTCTACGCCAACATCATCACAGAACGAATCCCAAACTCGCACTGTGTATAGTGAGATAAATAATAAATAATAAATGATTACATATTCACACATTTCAACTCGCTATAAATGCACAGATATCTCCAGTCCAGTTATAACAAAAATATTTTATTCCTTTTACTTTTAAATCGTTTGAACATATGAAGGTTTACACGTGCCCTGATTAATACACCAAATTATCAAAACGTGTTCAATCTTCTAAAAATTCTCTTCCCTGTCCAGTTTCTCGATTTACCGTGTCTCTTGTCCCCGTATCACTTTTTCGTCAATTGGACCCGGCATGCAGGTAACCCTCTGGAAAACGTGGGACAGGATGAAAAAAATCGGGCATCGAGCCGCCGCGACGTAGGACAGAGCCGATAAAGGGCGATCGGGTCATTCGTCGTCGGCCCGATTGGTTAACTTTATTTTGCTCAGTGGGCAAACCCTTAATTTCAGAACATCGATCATAGCCCTCGCATGCCCTCCGCTCGATGCAACCACGTCCTCTCCGTTCGGCCGAGCCGCGACCCTCAACGCAGTGACGCGCCTATCTACTGTACCCTTCGTCAATTTGACGGATTCCATTTCGGTTGGTGCGCGACGACGATCGTTTCGTTTCCCTGGACGTATGGCCTCTTCGAGGGGATGACGCGGGAGAATTTTTCACAGGAAAAATGGCAGCCCCGGCCGATTAATACCACGATGAACGTTCGTTCGTTCGCGAAAGGGAGGATTTATACATTTCGAAATTGTTTGAAAAGTTAATGGGCGGCCTCGAAAATTTGTTACCGCTGGCACGGCGAGAGTAACGGGCCAGGGTCGCAGAGATATTGAAATACCGTGAATTAACGGAAACGCAAATGCCTCCAACGATAAAATTTAATCCTTCACGGACACACCGCAGTTTGGCATCTCGCCTGGACCTCAACCTCGTGGTGAATATTTTGGGTTCGCTCGACTTTTCAGAACGATATATGTGGCGAGATTTTACACATATTACGCGAGGAATCAAACAAACAAAGTCAGATTTGTGGAAACTGTGTCCCGACAGTTGAAATTTGTAATATTTGAAGCTTTGAGAGTCAGAAGCTTTGAGGCTCTGACACCTTGAGTCAGAGTGTGTCTTTACAGATATGCACAAATTTCACGTTTGAGAGAGCAATTAAATCACTTCTAAAAAAGCACCATCAACGCTTAGTCATTTAATATTTT